TTGTTTAAGGATTAATGCAATCTCCTAGCAAAGCTCTTAAAAAACTGTAAATTGTACCAATTATTGCACTTCAGTTAATGAACATAGTCTGAGATTACAGAGACATTTTAACCTTTGTATACACAGAAAACACAGATGTGAGGAAAACAGCGTTATGAATGTGCCAGTTATTTGGGTATTATCTTTCACGTTAACACACAACAGCTCCAGTATCTGACAATGTTACATTTACAGTCCTAAAAGGATAAAACCTTCAGTTTAAAAGAAGAAATAATATACTACGGAACATAAAATTTGGCAAGACATTTAACTAGAGAGTTTTACAAAACTCAAGTGACAGCTCACATTACTTTAGGGTTGATTGAGTAAAGCTAACTTTCTGATATAACTGATCCAGTTACAACAATTTAGCATTAGCTGAGCTTCCTTACGTAACAGCTATCTGTCAGGGACAGGGGGGATTTTTCAAAACTGCAATGTATTTTTTTTGTTTGTTTTATTTTTTTTTTAAGATGAAGAACAATGAGGAATGAAACTATAGCATGCAGCAATAAATATGTTTGTTTGTTTGTTTGTTTGTTTTTATGATCACCATATGCACCTTTTGCCACCAAAGTGAAGGGGGAAATAAGCAGAGAATTGCTTGCATGATTCTGAAATCTATTACTGAGGAAAAACAAAAAGATATTTTTGGTCCATCTCATTAGGGCAGAATATTTCCTTTTTGAGCAATGAAAACCTCCTATGATTAGGAAGCATACTAGAAACAGAAGAGGCTCAGAGAAACCTCAAATTCAAGACAAGGATTGATGTGGAAGCAAAGAGAGAACAGCTAGACATCATAATACTGAAAGGATGTGCATTTTGATTCAAATACCTTGTCTCACCTAGCAACTACAGCTTATCGATGCAGAGTGGGTGAAAGTGTTTGGAGTCCTCATTCCTCAAGTGCCAGAATGAAAACTTGGTTTGGGCTAAGACTTTAGCCACAGAAAATGGTACAAAATGAAAAAATGGCCAAAGCTCAGCTGCTTCCCTCGTGTAACTGCGCAGCTCCAAAGGAGTGCTGGCAGCTGAACATCTGAGGGGCTTTTTCATAACATTATCAGTCATATGGGACACTAATAACGTGTTCAGAAAGACAGGACCTCCAGAGTTACTGAATGACTGAAGAAATTTTTTAAATTCACAAAGAATAAAAAGAAAAAAGTTTCAGGAAAGATTGATCCAATTGGGAAGTAACCAATGTCTACTGTTGAAGACAAAGAATGCAATGAACTGAAAGTTTCAGATCTAGGTCCCTGAAAAGCTGCATCTACTCAGGTTAGCTTTTGTAACTCGGTCCCTGAAACATAATTCAACACAATACCCTAAGAAATGCCTGTTCTGTGATTAGCAACACGCTTCATTAAAGAGTGACCATATTGCTTAAGTTGTACTAAAGATCAGTTTTGCAACGAGGTATGAAGAAATTCACAAAATATTTGAGATCAGACCTGCCTCCACAACAACAGTTTCATAAAACAATGTTATATTACAAACTTAAAACAGACCCGACAAAAATAAATGAGTAGTTAAATGCCAATGTATTAAAGACCAAACTGTTCACAACATGAAACACTGATGATTATGACTAGAAAAGAAATCCCGATAATTAACTGAAAGGCAATCTTTTGCTTTTGAAAAGGCGATTGCGAAATAATGGCATTCCAAGTTCAAAATTAAGCTGGCTGATGTTCGGTTAATTGTTTGTGCAAGCTGATGACTTAATTACATGCAGAAGTTACAAGTGGACTGAATCACGAGAGGAATGTTTTCTTTCAGTCTTATCATCAGAGTTCAGCGTGAACATATATAATGTGATCTATAAAAATAAATAGTTGAGTGCAGAAGATACGAGGGTCAAGTACAATATTGACTATTTGACCATTTTTACAAAAGGTTATCTAAAATTTCAGGAGCTGTGTACTGTTCCTTCAGGGCTTTGTTTCTTTTGCTTCTTGCTAAGGTCTCCAAAAGAAGCAGCGAAATTTGATTTAGATAGACGTGTCTACACAAGTAAAATTGTATTTGGACAGAAGGCACCAATAGTCTCAAGTCAAAATTGTACCACTCCTACATGTATAATCATGCAAAAATGTATAATAAATGTATATACATGCAGAGTGATATTCTCATCACCTACCCATAGAAATAACTTGTGTGAAAGTCTTCATCAGTAGGAAATACAAGCATAAACTTGTTATCTGTAGCTCCACTCTTGTATCTTCCACACTTCCAAACAGCACACCTTATAACTTAGCTTAAATTTAGTATACATCAAACAGACAAAAATATTTTCAATATAATTTACATACTGTAATTATATTTGTCAGCGTAACAGCCACCAATTTAAAGATCTGGAGAAAACAAGCTGCCTGTTTACAAAGCAAGCACAGCAGAGGTCTCTTTGTGCTTTTCTCAGCCTTGCCTTTCAAAGCCAGATTTGGAGAGGGAAGGGCCCTGATGCCAGGGTTACCCACACCTATCACCAGTAAGCGGCCGAGGTAACAAGTCTGGGATTCCCACCACGAATAAAAGAAGGAACAAGCAAGAAATGCTTGTGTGTGTTTAAAAAATAAATAAAACAGTCCCAGATGACAACCAGATTAAAGTTGCAGTGGATGTATCATCCAAAAATCCTCTAAAACAGCTCCGGTGCCCAAAGCCTGCTTCGCTTTTGGCAGCAGGTGGATGGGGCAGGAGGGGTTAACCCTGGCCATCTGACGGCGTGATGCAAAGGGACTGCGGGGTGCTGAGGAATAAGGACAGCCGGCTTTGGCTAGGAAATAGGGACCAAAAAGGGCTTTCACCTTGGAAAGGACCAACCAAAGCCACAGCCACAACTCTCATCGGGTTGTCTTTGCGATAGGGCTGCAAAGGGACTTTGAAGGAGACAGCGAAACAAAATCATGCCAGGATCACGATTTAACGTGGCACAATTAGGAGGTTCCCTACTCAGTAATTTAAACAACGCCTTTAGGAAAAATCGCTTCTTCTGAGCACCCAAGGAAGCTGGAAGCCTTACATCTCACTGGTGATAAGCTTTAATTTATTACTAAAGCACTAAGTGCTTGAAAAAGACAAGGCTGAAAGTTAATAAGTACCAGCAGCAAAATACAGCTGTTGACATTTAATGTTAACAGGGGGAGGGAAAGACTGCAAGGATTTATTTAGTTATTTATTTATTAAGAATTTGGAGGCAGAGGTCATGACAGGGACAAAACTTTCAAGCATCTCCCTCGATTTACAGAGCCCACCAAGGCTAAATCCGCTCAGGACATGTGAATTAAAAGCCACATGCACAGAAATCCAGCTCTACACATAACAAGTTTAGTTTGCAACGCAGCAAATTCAGTCACCTCCTACTTGCTAGCCACTGCCATGCTTTCCACAGAGCCACGTCTCCTTTCATCCCCCAGCTCACGAGAAGGGCAGCACGAGCAAAAAAGGGGGAACCGAGCGTAAAAACCCAGCGGTGGGTTAAGAAAGCAGCGCCCCTGGGAGAAGCGGCGTTGGCTACCTTTGTGCTGAAGCAGCTGCCTAGCAATGCTCAGCGTACCGGGGTCACTTTGCAGCATGAAACAAAGGGCAAGCCAGCACGACCTGAATGGGGATTTACTCCTCCGAGTCATTCAGCTCTCTTAAATTTAGGCATGGAGGCCCAGCTCGCTGCTCAAATGTCCTCCCTCTGCAGCCAGAGAGGGGGATTTTGGGGGATGACCTCCCCAGCGTGCAGGGCTCAGTCTGGCATCAGCAGAGCACACAAATCCAGCACCAAAACTGCCCAGCAAGACCAGCTCCAGCCCTAAGGACGGGACTTACTCAGAGTACTTTATGTGCTTAAATTCCCCCCAAGTAAAGGAAAAAGGCTGGAGGCTCCAAAGGGCTGCAGTCACTCCACAACTGAAAGCCCAGTTCTGGTGGTTGGGGCTGTCTGCTGGAGCCAGCGGTGTCTGGAGCCTCCTTGAGGTGTGAGCAGCACCACAAGCTCTCAGATGCACACAGACGTGCACAATAACAGCAGCAGCAGTAATTGCAGCGCTTTGTTCTGAACAAAGCTCCCCATTAGTGATCTCAGCGAGGTGGTTGTTCACCTCCCCTTGCCCGTGGGGGAAACTGAGGCACGCAGAGATGTGCGGCTTGCTCAGGGCTAACAAGCTGGGGAGCTGAGCTGGGCTGAAAACAACGCTCCCCTCAAATTACCAAGCTATTTTTGACTGGGAAATTATGGGGGAGTTTAAAAATAGTGCTGGGGAATGTATTCTTGAAACATGCAGAAGCTGAAAAGGCAACACGCCAAGGCACCCAGGTAGTCGCGAGCCTAAAGAGCCACGGCCTCACCTCTGGGTCTTCTTCAGGAATAAAGGCATTGCTCTGCTTTACACCCACCCCTGTACTCTGAATTAAATTATTGATTTTATGTAGCAAAAGAGAATACTGAGATAGATATTTTAAAAGAATAAAAAGACCCGAGAACACCTTTCATTTACACCTCGCACAAATTTAAGGGATAACTATACTGACTTCAAGATTAAGCAAAACATAGCATGGACTTTAATAACCACATCAATTAAAAGCTCAGATAATCACTATGGCAATCAAGGCAAACAAATTTTGGGTGCCAAAAACTAAGATTCAGAGGATTGCATCCCACATGACTTGCTGAAATAGCTTTGTAGTAGACAAGCCAGTAACTTCCACCTAAAAAGGATGGCTTCATATATAAGACTATAGGCTGAAGCAACCACTTTTTTTTTTTTTTTTTTAATTTATTTTAGATAAACAATACAAACCTGGTATTATTTAAGACATGATCCAGAGCTACAGCAAAAGCAGGCTCGGTTCAGATGGCATAAAGGATCTGAACTCTAAAGCAGTTCCCAAAGGAGGGTGGGGGGCAGGAGACCTTTGCCTTTTTTTTTTTTTTTTTAATGTTGTTTAGCAACATGAAACACTTCTTTACTATTTATGTTTATTTATTTATTCCAGGTTACAGTAGTTACATTTCAAAATTTACAGGGTTAGGCAAAGAATACATGGTAAATACAATAAAAAACAATAGTAGTGTAACAACATTCTCCCTAAAATCATAAAGTGAACAAAAAAAATGATGAATCCATTTTCCTCACAGTTTCCTTCATTTCACACAGTAAAGCTTTTTTTTTTTTTAAACTATCATAATAAAATAATGAAAACCAACATGATCAAATGAGTATCTGTTTTCAGACTGGATCATTTATAATATATCACACCAGAAGAGATCTCAAAAATTCAAGTCTTGCTGATCAACATTCATTCTTTCAGGCTTTTTGATGGCCAGATGGAAAGTATCTTGGATTTGTTTTACCAAGTTACACCGAGATGCAATAAAGTCATTTTCAATGTGCGTTAAGCAAAGGCGCACGGAGCATGGTTGTGCACTGAGAACAGGAGGAAATGCACGATGTCTGTCGCACAACAGGACTCATTGTCACTGGTGCTACTTAATGACTACTTAATTGTGGAAGCAGACCTATTAGCCAGCTCTCTTCCCTACTTTTACGGGGGAGAGGTTTATCAGGAGGGATTTGAAAGCATCACACAGAGCTACAACCACAAAGTCTCCTGCGGAGGCACAACTTACTTTAGCAAAAGGCAGGCAAGTGCAGGCAGGCTCACCCCGCCAGGAGCATCACGTTTTTGGAGCACGGTCTGCATCCTCCCACGGCGAGCTGCTGCGGTGTGATGAGATACCAAATGCCTGATGGTCTGGGCTAACCCCTGCCCATCGGTCTGAGATGTAACAGAGCGCTCAAAATCGGTCTTAATTTAATCTTGTTCTCCGTGTGCCTTTGCTTTGCTGATCCAGCACCATGAGATTAAAAAATTTTGTGAGAAAAAGCGTTTTCTAGCCGCATGTTTTGCGAAGTACTGTCCATCTTCATCAACCAGCCTGAGTATTTAGCGTCTACAGTACTAATTGCACAGCGCGTTTGTTCTAATGCTTCCAAACACAGCTGCAGTGGTCACAGTGCAGACCTTGATCATTTCAAAAAAACAAACATCAGCTCAGGGAGCCCCGTTTACACACTTTTATCAGGCAAAGAGTCCCCCTTAAAGTAGTCTCTGACCAAAACCTGCAGCAAGTTCCTTTGCTAATGAGGAGAAATGCCAGCCCCATTGAAATTAGTAGAGGTTTTCTACCGGTTTTAATAGGGCTAGGACTTAATTTCTAATGCCCTTAAAGACACAGGATAGCACTTAAAGACATTTACAGTATGTGATACAGAAAGAAACAAAATACATTAACAAGAAAACGCAGTGATAATATAAATACGTTTTGACTGGCAAAATAAATGCCCAACCTCATCCCAGCACATCTAAGACCGGTCCTCCAGTCTTAACTTTAGCAGCTCTGACAAAATAACCAAACAATCCTGCACGAACACTAAGACACCGTGAACTTAAAAATAATAACACAAACAAATGCATATTTCTACCTGAATTATTTTGTCCTAATGCTGTTAGAAATAACAATAAAGATTTGTATACCTGAAATGCCTAGGATTTTTTTTTTTTTTGCCTTTTTTCCCCCTGCTCAGTTACTTTTCCAACAGACTGTTTTAAGGCTCACTGCCTTGACTTGAATTTGTTTTATGCTGCATGCTAATTAAAAAAAAAAACATACCTTTTTTCCTAAACAAGCCCTGAAAATTCACTTACTTTGTTAGAAGCACATGAAGAAAAGACCCCAACCCTCAGCTAAACCAACGTGTGTGCCAAACTTGGGGACTGCCTGTACCTCTCAAACCCCTCTCAAGGGGAAAAGGAGCACGACTGCTCGGCCCCCCAGACCTCCAGGGGCTTCTGCACTGGATCCCACCCTAGGAGCAGATCCTGTAATGTTTCATTCACCGAATCGGCAGTTTGACATTTCGTGACATTTCAATTAGTCCCTTCTATAAAGGCTCGTTTGCACTCATATAAAAACATTAATGAAGTAGCTGTGTTTCGCCCCCTACTAGATCCTGACTCTGCAGTCGATGGAAGGGGTGTTCAATTACTCCCATGCAGAAACATTTGCCGCATTGAGAACATAATTCAATATTAAAAATGGCAACGTAGAAACCTGAACAGGCCAGTTGGGTTTACATTGGCACCGTTTACACTGGAGTTATCCTGGTCTACGCCAGCTGATCTGACCTGACACATCTACCCTTCCAAAAACATAAGACCACATGTAATTATCTACTTAAGAAACTAGAATGTGTCTTTAATCCTTTCTGAAGCATAAATCTTAGGAAAATTACACAAACTCCAAATCATCATTTGTGATTCTCCATACCTGTGCAAAAAGTCCTACTGATTCTCCTCTATGTGTTAAACTCAGTGGTTTTAAAGCAATTTATTGAGATGTGAGCAAAAACACACATTAAAAAAAATCTATCTCCAAGTTGAAAAGCAAAAGAGTTTCCTCCTGATACACTTAAATAAGGCTGGACTACTTTAATGCAATACTAAATCGATGAGATTAAAATTTACGTTAAAATTTCAGCTGAAGAAATTCTAACTCCCTGAAAGTTTCTAGTCAAAGCCCTTTGAAAACAGACTTAAAATGGAAACCTGGGCAAACTCAACTGTAGTCAGATACTACAGCAAAAATATTTCCATTTTTCCAGGAAATAAAAACCTCTGAAGTTACCTATCAGGAGCCTGGAAGTTTCCAAAATCATTTACAGCCATTGCTCTTGCACAGGTATTCTCAACGCTAGGCAGCTTTCATGGGGAAAATGAGTTCCAATTACATCTGAGATGAACCATCCCCTCAGCCTTCGGGATGCCTTTCAATAAGTTGACCCTAATACTATTACATCTTTAATTGTCTGCTTGTTCTTTCACATTTATAATTGTTTTCATTAAAAAAATAAAATAAAATAATGATGGATAAAAGCATTGGAGAATTTTAAATTTTTGCCTACAGTATTCAAATGCAAATTACCTGTTAATACACTAAGTTATTTCAATTCTGCTTTGTTTTTGTTATTGTTTTGTTTTTAAAGAAAAAAAGATTACCTAACAAAGACACTGAAGGTTGGCAGAAATTTCACTGGCTACATCCCCAAAGTTATTACCTATTTATTAGCTCAGTACATAAAAGTCAGTATAGAAGTCTGAGAGAAAAATAAGCTCAACTGATCCCCTTACACAATTTGTTTTGAAATACTTAATTGCTCCATACCTAGTGCTTTATAAAAAAAAGGCTAAGAGCATGCTTACAGACATACTGAGTTAAGTGATGCCTACACATTAAAAGAAACCAGTCACTGCAAAAAGCTGCTTCTGCATGCACGGGAAGGCTTTGTAAGGTTGTCATGCTTTAAAATATGCTGCTCTTATCATCATAAAGGCATATATATCAAATCTATGAACAACAGGAGGATTTTTTTTTCATATCAGCAAATTATCTTCCCTGAATGACCTTAAATTTTAAGCAGATACGATTATTAAATTGCAATTAAATGTAACTCATTTAAAGTTTACCTACAGTTAAGTTAAAAATGCACACAAATTCAGATGAGGGAGTCTTCTCGTAAGTTCATATCAAAATCTTTGTATCAAAATCAAGCATGAAGTTGGTATGTTGTGTATAGATTTTATTCCAGTTCTTAAAAATTATCTCCTGCATAGTCTTTCAAACACTTATGTTGAAAATAACGTAGCTCTCTAACTTTTCTATTTAATGAAGGCATCACAAATTAAAAAAAAAAAAAGAGTCTGAGCCAAGAACAATGTTAAAACACCAGTGACAGTATTACACCAAGAATAAAAAGCATTTCTTGAATTCCTGTTACAGGTTTGATCTGAAAGCCACAAACTGATGAAAAATCTTCCACTGACTTCAGGAAGGAAGAAGTTAGACCTACAGAAGATACAGTGGTTACTTCCGATGGAAAGAAAACGAATTTGGCAAAAATAATTAGAAAAAAACAGAAGTGACCGATATTTAAAAGACAAAATAGCAGAGCAAAAAGAGACCTGTAGTGTTCTCTTTACTTAAACTATGCCTATGCAAAGAATTTAAATTTCCATTATTAAAATTCTGATTTGCATCAGAAACTTTTAACAAGTTCTAGCTGATGAGAAGTATACATTTTTGGTAGCTATGGAGAAGTTACTTCACATGAAGAAAGGCCTTATTGGAGAGGTGAACAAAAATCCCTGTGTGTAGTAGTAATAGTAAGAATTAAATAGAGGTTTCTAATATATATTTTAAATTAATTCTACTTTAAACATCACAGTTTCAAGCCTGCCTATTCAGGATAACTAACAGTATAAAAAAATCCACGCAATAGCAAGTTATTGTATTATTTAAATGAAACTAGTGCTCTGGCATTCCCAGTCACAAGTAAATAATGATTTCAGCAGCATTCCAGCATGGTTCAGAAGAAGCTCCTGCTGTCTGACCCAGAGCAGCAAACCATTCCTCCCGACCACCACAGTGCTTGCTAATCTGCCTGCCAAACCTTTCTTTGAATTCCTGTGCCAAGAACCAATCCATCCAGCAACGGTTGCTTATCTTAGGACTGACACCACTATTTTTATCCCAGCACGAAGGATGCAGTTTGATCGTATATACACAGGGAAGCAGCAGTGCTTTGTATGCACCGGTCATGCATGCACACACATGTCCTTGTGGGTGATTCATCTCGCCTAACTTCAGCCAGAAGTTATCTCACCTAAACTATTTAGAAGGGGAGTTCAGACAACTGATGGAAGAGAAAGACGCCGCCAGGAGATATCCTCTACAGGTGCTTCTCTTTCCAGAGATCTGCAGAACAGCAAACTAGACACCTAAAATTAGAGGAGATGATTTCCACCCAAGCAGAACACATATATATGTATACATGTGCTTATTTGTGCACACAGCGTCAGACAGCTGCTTCCATAAATATGTCATATGCAAGACAGCAGTGACATTAATAAAAACTCTGGACAGAAAATGAACTACTAAATGGGAGACAAAAATAAAAAAATCAGTTGTGCATATTGGTTATATATAGCTAAAGCTTTAGGGCAAGCTCATTTGTTACTTCTACCTAAAAAGGAAGAAGAAAAACTAATCTGTGCCATGTTCAAGCTGCAGAAATTGGGAACAAACAGAGAGTTAAGGAAAAGTTACGGGTCTGTATCTTGTCTGGTTCTCTAGGGTGCATCTTTAAATATAAAACTTATTTCCTTATATAAATGTTCTAACATGCAAAGAGAGCATTTGAATGAGCAGTCTAAATGCTCCTGTGGTAACAAACATAGCTCTATTCCTTCTGGGGTGTTTAAACAAGGATTCTAAGTTATATTTTCCCAAGTTGGGTGATGAAAGCCTACGGTGTTTCCCACTCCCCCCCTCCCTTTACAGGTGTTTTATGTGTGTGCTGGCACATGCACATGGGTGTAAATTTTTTTTTTTTAACTACATATATATATTCTCTATAAATTAAAAAAGATACCATGGTATTCAAACCCAGAAGAGAAAAACAAAACAAATATATATGAAGAGAAAAGCAAACCTTGTTTTTAGCATAATCCAAAGTAACATCAAGATTGCAAAGATAGGAGATAAATATATATATATATATATATATATTTAAGTTTATGATTGATTCAGATCAGGCTCTGCAATATTCCCATTCTCTGGAAAGATAGCTGGAAAATTGTTATTAAAAGTCGCTGGAAACTCTAATGTAGCATCAACATTTTGATAGCCCATGTAAGAATTAAACGACTGCTGTGGAAGTACTTGGCTATCAGGCATCTGTATGAATGCCCCTGACTGCGTGGTAGGGGGGACTCTTTGGCCAACTAGTTGCATTTTAGGATCCCTGGGCTCCAGTTGTTGCTTGCTTTCTTCATCCGTGTCAAGACGGGTTAGCTTTTCTATCCACATGCGAAATTTCTCCTCTGTCTGCCTCTGCATCTCGGCAAAGCAGTTCATGGCCTCTTCCAGGACATTGCCTATGCAGTTCCTATCCCATACGGTGCCCCTGTCAAGCAATCCTGGAATTTCCCTGGTCGCTCCTCCAGATCCCCCAGCACGACTGAAGCCAGCTTTAAAGACATTGAGGCCATTTGATAAGACATCATTAAGCAATAACATAATATTGTTTATTAAGGCATGTTAACTCAGGAAAATAAAACTTTTCTAATTGTGTCCCTTGGATATGACATCGGGGAGGAATTAGCAAATATTGAATCAACCAACAGTATTAATGTTAAAATAAACAACATTTTACACGCATTGAAGTTATCATAAATTTTGGCTTCAAAATTGTTTTTATTCTAGAATTCTCAGACAACTCTGTCACAAAGGTCTCGTTTGTTTTATAAATCAAATTAGCCCAATTCCCTTGCAATTTCAGTCCTGAATTCAGCTGAAGGAATCCAAAACATCATGCAACAAGAGGTTTACTTCTGTTAAGCTGTGGTCCAAGACGCCACTGTTTAAATGATAAACCTGAACAATTATATGCATTTTGCTTAGCTAGATTAACCCTTTTATCATGGACATACACAAAACCGTACACAAATAACAGAGATAAAGGCTGAAGCAGTGACTGCAGCCTCTAGAGCAGCCAAGCCCAGATCTTACCGCTCTTGGTTTAACTTTGGGAAAAAATAGTGAACACCGATGAAGAGAATACACGACACAAACACACAGACACGAGCACAGAAAGACACACGGACACTGTGCTAGTACACGAGGTGAAAGCAGCTTTTGTCAGGTCTGACAGCAGAACCCAGCTCCATCAGAGGAACAGCCCACAGGCTGTATCAGGTCAGCGTGACGATGCCGATGCCAGCAGCTCACCTCGCACCGGCTACAAGCGTGCCCTTAATTCACCTGCAGAGCCAGCGGCTGGCTGTGCGGCATTTCTCACGAAACTCCTCCTAACCAGTGCTAAAAACAGGCTGGGCATAGCTGGAAGGAGGATTTTCTCCTTCCATCCATCAAAAAGATGGTTGACGTGACTTTGGGATGTTCAGGAAGAGCTTTAGCAGCAAGAATGCAAGGCCATCCTCATTATTTTACTCTGCTTATTAACAAGAGAAGGCAGCGGTATCTCTATTTTTAAGTTTAAAGTTCACTCGGGAATCCTCTAGGAAGCAACAAATCCCCAAGAAGGTGAGGCTTTGCACCTGTCTGATAAGCAATAACCAATGCGTGCATGCTGGCCTAACGCAGGAACATCACCTAAGGTGGTCCACAAGGAGACAAGCACCACGTTAACTACACAAAGCAGCTATATAAACTGACAACTTAGTACATAAATACGAAACTCGCGGGATCCTCTAGCTTAAGAATAATAGAAAATATCTTACGAGGGAGAGAAATCATTGCACAACCTAAGCATACTCGCTAATAAAAGCTTAAGGCACTAACTCTTTATTGGGATTCCACTGAGCGTACGAAATTACAGTATCACTTGAGCAATACATTCATTTTAGGAGCAATTTAAATGAGGTATACATAAGACCTTCAGTAACAGCTAAACAAAGCCTGGGGTTACTCTCTTTTTACTTTTGAGCAGTAGCAAGGCTTCCAGTTGAGGGGTAAAGACTTTCTATTAAAAACCCTACTTTTGAAGTCTTCTCTCTCAGACGTGCTGGAAATTCATCATTCAGGTCCACTGCCCAAAAATAAATCACTTTATAGTAACTACCTTCCATCTCTTTGATGGTATTTAACTAAAAGTAATTAAGTAAAATGGTACCTTTTTCCTAAAATGTGTCTCCTTTTGAATATTCAATATCTTTTCCCCCCTGAAAAAAGTATTACTTCTGTTCACATACTCCTAGTGTTGAACAGCCGATGTGTTTGTGTTTACTCTTCTTTAGTCAGGGAACTTATCCCAAGACAAAAGGACTAAGCAGCAGCCTGACTTTCACAGATTTAACAGCTGACACCTTTAAGTAACGCTGACTAAGTTTTAACTGCAATTTAAATTAAAACCACTGCTGACAGTGATATGTGAGATACAATATAGGCAGGCTTTTAAAGTTAAGAATGAATTAGCACAGTCAAAGCTGACAAAACTGTTTTGTAAACTAAAAGAGACTATGTACTGAAATATACATTACCCTGTAATGTCATTTTTTTAAAAGGCATCATTTATAGTATACCTACAATTTACAGCAGCAGCAAACCAATCTGCTTCAAAGGCTTCCCCTGCAGTTCTACTTATAACATACCCTACTCAGTTGTCATTTACTGGTGGCCTTTGGTGTTTAAAAAAAGTAAGTCTAAAAATGCATTTCTATTAATATTAAAAAGCTAGTGTTTATCAGATTGGTCCCCTTGCTAACTGCAAGCTTGCAGCTCTGGTTTTAGAAGTCAGCCGAGACGCTATCACCTGCAGAACAGCACCTCTGGAACTCCTGTTGTCTCTTTATGGGATCTGTTAATTACTACCCAAATAATGACCACGTCCAAAGTCATTTAATTTAGGAAAACAGACAACATAACAGTTTAGAAGTCATGCTGCATCTTCACTGCAATCAGCACTGGTGGACAATACCTAGCCATTTTCCTATCCTGCCCTTCCAAAGGGGGAACTGACTCCAAATCACTCTGATTTTTCCCTATTCTTATCATTCTTCCAACAAAATTCACCCCTTGCAAGATGCTTCAGTCTAGCTCTGTGCACTGACCTTTGCAGGAAGTAAACTGGCTCAGAGTCCCTCACGCGCACCATGCTCCTCTCTTCAGATTTCTGTGTATTAAAAATCCTTTTTCTTTTACAAACAAATGAGCTGCAACATCTTTTTTAAGATCAGTACTTTGAACTTTACAGATTTTTGAAAGCCTAAAACGTGAGTCATCCCTATTTCAATTCAGACCTCTTCTTGAGTTGTAGAAAGCACAACAGCGGTGAAAGGACCATCTTTTCATATTATATTTAAATTTTTTAAAAACCCTTTCCTTCTTCCAAAGAAATAAATGTTGATTTCCAGACTTGCTCTCATGCCAATATCATTTAGAGTTAACTTGCATGATCAAATCTGAAAGCATTTAAAGGGAAACCTTTCAATAGCAGCAAGTCTAGAAGAATTTATTTCAGGACTTGAAGATCATCCTCCTATGCCCAAAGCAAATACTATCTAGTTTTTGTTATAGCATGGTAAAACCCTACTGCCAACAGAGAGGCTCAATCATTAATATGTAAAAAATTATTCCTCACCTGCAGTAATTCAAAAATAATGGCATTAAACGAAATAAGAGCCCAAACTGCTTGAGTGAGTGAGAAAATTCTCACTAGCATCCACGAGGTTTAGGCTAACCCTGTATTTTCAGATTTTCAGCAATGCTTTGCTACCCTGTATTATCTTCTAACTACTCATTCCTTCCCAAAATTTTGAGGAAGCTTAGAGCACGAAGCTAAGCGCACTAAAACAGCTGTCCGTTCAGGAAAACAACCTAAACCACTTTGTCCATCCCAACAGGAGGGCCCGTGAACCTGTCACTGCAGGGGGGGCGCTGGGAGCCCCCAGCCCACAGCTCTGCAGTGCCTGCAAAGCCTGCAACAAGTGCATGAAGCGTTTTTGGCTGCCCTTGTCCCATCTCTGCAGGGGATGGTTTTCCCTCGGACTAGCAGACTGCTGCCCACAAACCAATGTTGTTTCTGTTTAAAAGGAAAACTGCAATCTGGCAGGTACACGTTGTGCCTAATAGCAGAAGGACAGCTCAAAAGTTTTGCTGTCTTAAATGTAATTTGGTGCCAGGTGCATGATAGCAGCCACCAAATAAATAAAGGTCACTGTTCTCCAAGGTGGGTTTTGCACTCCCACGTCTTGCAACCCAGGTAAAATCAGGCCTTGATTTAATAATCATGAAATCGACAGGTTCGTCCATCAGCCGCAATGGGACCTTTTCACTGCCCACCTCTCATGGTGAGACGTGGAGCTCAAATACTGAGAAGCCAATTGACACAGAAAAGTACCCTGGTGTGCCTTCAGATCTCAGCACTGCAAGTCAGAAGTCTGGGCAGATCTGAAAATACCAGGTGGTACCTTTCTGGGTCATAAGGTACTTTATAATTTTATAAAAAAATGAAAACAGTGTACCCTGAGGGATTTTGCACTGAGGGTGGGTGGGTTGTTTTGGGAGTAGAGGGGCTGAGCTGTCCCAAAATTCCATGAAAGAAAGTTTTCTTACACAGGACAGGCTTTACATTAGGTCTTATTGCCCAGCAAAGTGTAAATAGAGTAAGTAAAAAGGCACAGAACTATGAAAGCTAGAGGTCTGACTAGCTACTAAAACGGTAAAAATAATTTTAGAGTCTCTATTAAAATTTTACTGCACAATAATTATAGGAGGATTATGCCTTTCCCAGACTTTCCAATAATAAACATTAACTTCCTTTGTGCAACCTGCTTCCTAGCAGTATGTGGGAAAAGTGCCAGTTCTCCTGGTGGCAGGATCGCTCACCATAACCAAGCCAGTTAGAACAGTGATCATTATTTGTAAAATCTGATACAAATATTTTAAATAACTCTATTCTAGCAAACATTAATTCGGAAACTTAATTATTGCAGTTTTCCTTTCGGTCTTCTTGCCTTATGTAAGCTTAAACTTATCTCCAAAAAAGCTTCTAGCACAGAAGGCAAAAAGTCATGTAACCCAGTAAAAATTGGCAAGCCAAAAAGTTTATTTTTATGTGATTTTATTTTTGATTGCCATACGATGGTTGTTCTGTGGTATAATATTCTGCAAGAGCAGCTCACACAAAATCCTGTCCACGGCACTTAGGCTAATAAAATAACAAAGACTCAGCAGACAAGAATTTGAAGAATCCAACTTTCTTTCACTAATAACATCATAAGAAGGCCCCTAAAATTTGCTGCCTCCCATCTTTTAACATGGATGTCTGGGAAAATCAAAAATATTGAAATTATAGATCTTTACAACATAGGAAAATGGTAACAGCTTTGTCTAAAACGCTGAAAATTTAGATTTGGAAACAGCTTGGGCACCTCTGTAAACAAATTCATATTTCTGTCCCAAAATAGGTGACCAGCAGCAACCTGCAAGAATTTACAATAAGGCTAAGTAGGTTTGTCATGCACTGAAATGGAGAGCTGAAAGCACAGTGTAAGTGCAGTAGTGAACAGGGCCTTACTATAACACAGGCAAGAGGTATGCCATGTCATTTTCAACACAGCTGCAGAGCTGTGGTCTTAATATATTAAAGCAAAGCTGGCCACTTATCTTAAGAATGTATTTATTAGATTATCACCATCTAATGGGATTTAACAGCACTGACAGGAATTCATATAGGCTTACAAAGGAAGAGATCTGAAAATTCCAGAATTCAAAGATAGTCCTTCCTCCAATTTACCATTTCTACACTTTGTTGGTATGCAAAAGTGCAATGAAACCTCAGAACAGATTTTAAAGTTTGCCCATATCTTGTTAATATACTGCAGTCTTCAAATTTACAGAGCTGCAGTTCTGGTTTTTCTCAAGTGTCACTCATCTAACTTAGCATGACAGCTGAGAAACGATGTCAGATGCGTTACAGTTCAGTTTAAAAAACATCCTCTACCTGGTATCTCTGCAGTGATTGTCTTGCTGCTCCCTGAAACCTCTTCATCATCATCTGATGAACTCGTGCTCGAGTCACACGTCAGGTCACTATCACTGGTACTGCTGTCCTGCAGCAGGTTGTACTTCTTGCGAGCAGCTGCCTCCCGCTTCTGTCTTAACAGCCGGATTCTTTCTTTGTGCTTTTGGCTTCGGTGACCTTTTACCTTGGTAACTCGACCATTCTGCTTATCGCTAGACTGGCGGTTTTTCTTGGCAGCCATTGTTGAAGTTTCGCTTTCAGACCTGGATCGCCTGGATTTCCTCCCAACTGCAGCCCCAGACACCCCCGAAGGGTCTCCCTCTACAGCAGCTTCAGCTTGACAGGGCTCATTCTCTTCTGTGGAAGACAACGTGTCTGAGTCAGCCAAATGCCCACTGGAAGAAGGGGAAAGCATGCAATGATTAGAAGAGTCACTCTCGTAAACTCGACCACCCGTTGGCTTATCGCTCTCCGTGGACGCCAGCTGAGACTCCGAGGAGTCTCGCCGCAGTTCCATCAGTAAGCAAGGCATCGAAGAGAGCACTGCGGAGTCTGAGGCAGCGGGCACACTGTCCTTCTGAGGATGTGGCTCCAGTTCTAAAGGTCCATCTTCATCGGGAGCAGTCTCCTGCTTCTCGGAAGCCTTTGGAGGAGCTTCCGAATCGAGAAGTTCTTCTGCTTTTCCCACCGCCTCCATCTTCATTTCAGAACGCCGAGGTTCTCCTGGTCTCAAAGCATGGAGTACGCGGACTGGAAGACTGGGTCAGCTAGATACGGTTTTCAGCAACACAGCAGCCTGCACAAGAACAGAACAGTAAGAATCATTTACCCAAATAACTCTCTCAGTCATCTTGTTGCTTTCAATCATGGAGAGCATTGCTCAGTACCATACTGCTTTTTTTTTCCCCCCATTTACTTTTTCCTAGTGAACTCATCCCATTACACCAATCTACTCATCCTTTTACACACTTAAGAAAAGCAGCACTGCACACATAGTAAACGTGGCTTATCTCACTAGATCAAAACAATTAGAAATCAAAAATATTTATTTTTCCTTTACAAAGATTTAAACCAGTGTCTTATAAGCAACATATGCTAAAGTTCTTTACCTTGGCCTTTAAAGCTTTTAACAAAGAACTTTAGTACCTATGAATAAAGCCAGAGCGAAAACTCCCAGACTTGTAGCCATCTGCCCGGAAAGCCCAGAACATTGTCCAGTTTTCATCTTCATGAGAAATCTCTTCGCAATTGATCAGGACTCCAAACTTTATAATCTAATGTTTTTAAGATAATTTACAAAACTTACAGTACCAACGTGAGCCATGTGTAAAGATGTATCAGGAGCATCTAAAACACCACTCGGTGCTCCTTGAAAGGCTCCCGTACAAGTCCTGCTGGTACAAGAACCTACGGCTGACCTAGTTTCTCTTAAATCTGCCAGGAGAACAGCATAAAGTAGTATGGGCTGCAAGTGACAAACAGTATCCACCCACACAGCTATTTTACTTTAAATTATAATTTAATAAATTGCATTGCTTTAGCACAAGTACAAAAAACAAGCTATTTTTCTGATTAATAACTTGCACGTTATCAACTAAGCAGCACTTAGAGCACCTTCAGGGAATTAAAAAAAATAATAATAAAATTTTAGCAGTACAATATTTATCATTTTATCTTAATTTTTCACACTCTGCCTTCAACCCAAATTTCCATTTGGAATTCAATGCAAGAAAAAAGTGAAGGAAGTTGCCGCATTCGCTCGCAGATTAATTGTATGGAACAAATGGTTCATGGGTTTAGAAGTACAGAAAACAACAAATTTATGGCACTTCAAAAAAAAAAAAAAGGCATAGACACATAAGGAAAAGCAATATTAAGCTTTACTATTTTAAAATAGCATTTTTGCAGGCAAGGGCAAATAGCACTTGAGCAGCCTAAGAGAGCATAGATGGGTCAGAGAGGTTTTTCTATGCCCTGACAATCCTTCTTGTCTCCCCATCGATCCCAAGCTGCCTGTACATGAATGCTGCTGCTGCCTGTAGCACAGAGTGAAGCTGCTTCCCTGGTTCAAGATGCTGTGGGTTGTGCTGTCTGCCCTAACCCACTTCAAAACTTCACTTTCAAAAGAGTATTAAAGTAGAGGTCATGTCTCCTTCAGGCAAATGAATGAAATGCTGGATGATGCAACAGATAAATACGGGAAACACCAGTTAAGGAAAGAAAACTTAGTTAATAACAGACAACAGAAGAAAGGCACAGGTGACAACTCTAGGTATACTAAATACAAAAAAGAAAACAAAAAAACAAGTAGAAACCCCGTTTCACATAAAAAATACAAGAATAGAGTAAGTTTAAAATAAAGGAAAATAGATAGAGAGAAAAATGTTCCCAATATTTGCACTGAGAAAAATTCTCTTGAAACCAACTTAAAAGAAGAATTTCTGGAGATGGTAATTTAATGTAGGTAATAAATATCACGTAAGAGCCCATTTATTTACCAGGCCACAGCCCAATATCAACAAACCCACATGACGAATACACCTTTGAGACAACGGCATCCCAACGCTGTAATAAAATCAGTATTCCTACATATATCATCTGCAAATCTACATTACCAAATAATTTTCCTAGGAGACATGAAAGCGGAACAGAGATCTGATGAATGTATAACTCTTGCCAAGCCACTCACAGTGGGGTATGTACTGTATCTGCTAGTGCAACTCCCTGCTTTTGCTTGGTAATACACTTTGAACAGAAAAATACCTTTCCTAGGAACTTTGAAATGTGATTTCTACTCATGCAGGAACAAACTTGGTTGCTCAAATACATACAGTAAGAATAATAGCCTGGCCAAAAGAAATGCATTTTAAAATTCAAGCTAGTAACCACAGAACAGCTTCTGTACCCTTCACCCTTTCGGTCAGGGGAGCCCAACACAGAGCTAAAGGGTGGCACAAATTGACTAGGGATTTTTTTCTCACGAGTGTCCTACCCAGGAACATCATCTACTCACAAGCCCCAAAGGGAACATAAAGTCATCAGTACTTGACCTTCCATCTTGCTGGTCTATCAGACAAAAAAAAACAACAAACATTATGTTTTATCTACATGTTGCAACCTTGCTGAGAGTCTAAATCCAAAATAAAGCCTTTTATTATTATGCAGGATCATGTTTTGACTACTCAAACCGCGCCAGACCTCTTCACTCACGCTGCAAGAATTTTATAAAAATTCCGAGCTTTAACAACCCAAATACAGAGAGTCGCAGAACCACAGGACAGTTTCTGTACAATGGGTCTGGTCCGAAGTTCTCTGCTCCCAGCTCCTGCCCACTCAGAGCAGGACCCGTGAGATCGGGCTGGCCACAGCCTGGTCCTGTCCTCAGCCTTGCTCCGGTCCTCAGCAGCCTCCCCCAGGCACAAGGAGTCTTCACGGATGGTAGAGATGGTATCAAGGACATCCAGCAGCCTCCTCATCCACAGACTCAAGTCTGCCCTGCTGGCTTATGTGGTATCCCTATCTTCATCTGCAGGAATTCTGGTGTTACTGTGCATAAAAAACTGCACATTTATCTTGGGGGAAGAAGGTTTGTCGTGATTCAAACAGACTTTGCTGTAGGGAAGAATGCAGACTGTGGGGGTAAAATATCTATGCCAAGGAAAGTCACATCTCAAAGAAGAAAAAAAACATTGATTTAGCTCTATTGGAGAAATATATAGATCATAAAGAGAAATAGACTGTACTGAAAAACGCCCGTCCTTTCTTGTCACTCTCTTTTCTTGCAATGGCATTAGAAAAGGTGATCTCAAGGTAACACAAGAAAAAGAACAGTTTTCTCCTTAAACGAGAACAACATAGCACTGAAAAATAAGCTGTGGTGCTTACAGACACAGATGGATACTTAATTAGATATTGCTCAGAAATGTCACTCTCCTTTCTCAGACGCACAGATATCGACTCAAAAAAGCAATTCTATAAAAACTCCTAGGCTAGCTTTTTTCAACAAATTATTTTATTTTTCAACCACACACAGCAAGTACCACTACGTGGAAACCTTTAAACATCTACCTGTACACGAGAAGTGCTTTCAAGTCGCGGACTCGTTTGTAAAAGCAGACAATTTGCTCTCTTTGAAAACTGCAATTTTTTGAAGAAAGTCAGGAGGATTCCAAAGGTCAGACAAGCAGAGACAGCCCAGCCAGTCCCACAGCTCGCTGCCTCTCATTGAGATGTTTTTTACCCCCTGCTCACGAGTGGGCAGTCCTGCTCCCTCCTTTGCTCCAAAGCTGGCTCGGCCTTTCTTGGGTAGATTCACTTCAGCAGGAAAAAACACACACCACAAAATACACAAAATATAAGAAATTTTCTGCCAGAGCTGGCAGTAAGACTAGGGAAGGGAGGGCATGGAACAAAGCATCCCTTCAGACAAAAACAAACCTGACAAAAAACTACCTGCTGTTTCATCTCATCACACCTTGAACTCACAGGTTCCAAATCCCCACAGGGGGGACTGCCAAGTGTTTCCTTCACAGCACTGTTTGCTCTGAGATTTTTGAAGATAAAAAAAATGATTAAACCCCCCCCAAAAAAGAAATTTGAACAGAGGTATTAGTAGTTCCGGAAGAACAACTATTGTGGAATTTATGCTATTAATATATTCTACTGCACAAATAATTGTACCAAGGACAGTATGGATGCTTTTAATTAATAATTGGCCACATGTGCATCCTTCAAAACACTTTTGTTTTGCTTTCAGCAAAGCAAATGTCCTTTAGAATTGTAAATCCTGCCATGTCAGTAAGAAATGCGTTTCACCCAAAACAAATGATAAAGCCTGACATACTTAATAAACATCATGATAGCCTCATCTTCTTTGTACGTCGTCTTTTTAGGTGTTATTGAACTGATTCATGATAAAGAATGAAGCCTGCGCTCTCTCAGCAGCTGTGGGTACGACAGACTCAGAAGAAGTAAGCCTCTCACAGCAGCTTGCTCTTAAAAGTCACTGTAAAGCATAGAATCACAGAACATCCTCAGTTGGAAGGGACCCACAGGGATCATCAAGTCCAACTCCTGCGTCCCCAGAGGACCACCCCAAAATCAAACCATGTGTCTGAGAGCATTGGCCCAATGATTTGTGAGCTCTGCCAGGCTCGGTGCTGTGACCACATCCCTGGGGAGCCCAGTGCAGTGCCTGACCACCTCTGGGTGCAGAGCCTTTAGTTCACTCCTGGCACATTTCACAGAACAGCCAAGGCTGGAAGGAACTTCCAAAGATCACCTGGAAAAGTGAGCCTAGATAAGAGTACCTAGCACATCTTGAAAACCTCCACTGACACAGACTCCACAATGTCCTCTATACCCAGAGGGCAGCAGTTCACTTCTTCTCCCTGCTTATGACTGTTCTTACACCATTTCCAGCAACTGCTTACATTAAAAAATATACATATATATCTAGCAAAATACTGTCTTTGAATGCCATTTTAGCATTGAAAGAAAAAAAGGTTGAACAACCCACCTCCTCACACCACTAGCCATTCATTCACAAGCTATAATTTGAAACAAAGAGAAACGGTACCTACAGTTTTGCAGAAAATGTACAGTTTTGCAGAAAATGTACAGTCTGTGACTAGCTAAATGAAAAGTTAAACTGCAGTGCTGCAGATTAGTTACTTGTTTAGAAAACAGAGCTAACTAAAGCAGTCTGCCCAGAGGAAATACACCTTACAGCCTCACTTTTCATCTAAATGGTTTTACATTTATATGGACCTAAAGCATACAGTGGCTGAAACTTCC